AGGGTTTAGGGTTAGGGCTTATAGGGCTTAGGGTTGAACTTAAGGTCTTTTGAATCGAAGGCTTTAATAGGTTTTGATGAAGGCATATACCTCAAACCCTAAACCCTGAAGTAGACGAGGGGCCTTCATATTATAGGTTTTGATAAAGGAATATACCTTAAACCCCAAACCCAAAACCCTGAAGCAAACAAGGGGCTTGGGACTAGGGGCCTTCATTAATATTATGGTTTGAAGTCGACTTCTTTACTGAAGGTCGTCGGGCTTGCTTCGGTGTAGCAACCCACTTAAGGTCGAAGTATATACAATATAAGCGGGTTCCCATGACATTCCTAGGCATGGGTTTAGGAACCCTAAACCCTAAACCCTAAACTCAAAACCCTAAACCCTAAACCCCTAAACCCCTAAACCCCTAAACCCTAAACTAAACCCTAAACCAATTCCTCCTTTACAAGCCCAAAGGGTCCAAGTAGCAATATGGTAGCTACTTTGTAGGTATTTGGGCCCCCAAAGTATACCCTAAACCCTAAACCCTAAACCTCTAAACCCTACACTAAACCCTAAACCAATTCATCCTTTTACAAGGAAGGTCCAGGCCTGCGGGTAGAAGTTGTCACCCACGTTCAAGATGTACTGAACGCCGCTCCTGCGAAGCGACCGAGATGGGATTCAGGGTTTAGGGTTTAGGGTCTAGGGTTCAGGGTTTAGGGTTTAGGGCAGTGGGGGGGGAGGTCCCTTCACTCTTCGCGCTCTGCTTGGAGGTTCAGGGGTAGTTATAAGTAGGGTTATACGTCCCTTAATTTGGGTTTAAAACTGCAAGTTATCCTACTTATAACCCCACTGAAAACTACCGGCCAGTCTTTAGGAAAGGGTCCAAGACTTTTCAAGGCCACTTGCTCCTGCGAATGTTAAAAAGTTTTTACTCCAGCAACACCTTCTGAAACCTAGCCTGTCGAAACGCATCCACACAAATGACACGCATGCTCCGCCCCTTGGCCCGCTAAACCCTCCACTCAGCCTGATCCAAACAGGCCCTGAACTGGCACGGTTTAGGGTTTAGGGTTTAGGTTTTTATAAAATGACTTTGGGTGTAGTGAACTCTAAAGCCAAATAAAGCACGTGCAAGGGCAATGCGGTTGGTTAGTGTTGGAAGCCGCTACATCGCCCAAAGCATCTTCCTAAACCCAATACCTCTTAGGCACGGGTACCCATAGGCCCCATAGTAGTTCCTTTTGGGGATTACCTAATAGGATCCTAAATATAAGCCACAGAAAGGAACTACTATGGGGCCTACGGGTACTTCATCAGAGATGTTAAAGCAGCCCGTCTTCTCAGCCCGCTTCTTCATCTGCTCAGCGACGACCACCTAACGGAAGACTCAGGACAAAAACGGTCTTGAACTGCAAATCTCTTGTACACAAGACAAAGGATGTCTAAACCCGAGGCTTCTTTTGGCTTCTGGCTGAAAGTCCTAAACCCGAAACCCCCTCGCCCTGAACCCGCGTAGCCAAAACTTTTCCTCTCGGTATCCCAGATGGGGTCTGAGCACGCAGGAAAAAACATACCTGTCCTCCATATATGCAGCATATACTATCAGGACATGAGAGATGGAAACAAGATTTGGGCGGGTGTCTTCTGGTGAAGTTCTAAACCGACCAAGAAGGCTATTACTACTCGTTCTTCAAACCCCAAACCCTTCACTATAAGTCCTAAAGCCCAGACCCTAAACCCTAAACCCTAAACCCTTGTAGTAGTGCTGTGCTCGGCCGGCCCCTCGGGTCGTGTCGTTTCGATTCCACGGTTTAGGGTTTAGGGTTCAGGGATTAGGGTTTAGGGTTTAGGGTGTCCATGTACCTCAGGGGTGTTTAAGGATCATGCCTTTAAGGGCTCTTATCCCAAAGGTCCAAAAGTACCTGTATGGTAGAACGCAGGGTTCTATATGATCAATCCTTGTGCTTATTTGGGAAAGTATCACCCATAACAGTATGTAGGACGCTTTAGGTATGAAAGTAGACTATTCTAAAGGCAATCATGAGTGTTTGGGGCGTAGGGATGTTTGGGGCATACGGGTCCATACACCCATATCGAGAGCCGTTTTGGCCATCAAGCACTCTTTGAGAGCCGCTAGACCAGGTTTAGGGTTTAGGGGTCCTAAGTTTCGAAATCCCTGAACCATCCCGCACCGCATCAGGAATGGATGCAGAGCCCTCGTATCGAGAGAGAGAGAGAGCGAGACAGAAAGAGAGGGACAGAGAGAGAGGGAGAGAAAAGAAAGAGAAAGACACGGAGAGGGAGAGGGAGAGCGAGCAAGAGATACTTAGAGAGAGAGAGAGAGAGAGCGAGAGAGAGAGAGAGCGAGAGAGAGAGAGAGAGAGCGAGCGAGAGGGAGAAAGGAGTAAATGGAGACTGAGGGAGTCGAAGTCGAAGAAACCCTAAACACCTAAACCCTAAACCCCTAAGCCCCTAAGCCCTAATCCCTAAACCCCCAAACCCCTAAAACCCTACACCTCTAAACCCCTAAACCCTAAACCCTAAAACCCTAAATCCCTAAACCCCTAAACCCCTATACCCTAGACCCCTACACCCCTAAACCCTAAACCCCTAAGCCCCTGAAACCTAAATACCCCAAGCCCCTAATCCCTAAACCCCTAAACCCTTAAAACCCAAACCCTAAAGCCCGAACCTCCCAGCTCTGAAACAATCAAGACTCAAATGGTCCAAAGTACCTGTATAGTAGAACGTAGAGTTTCTATATTAGGAATCCTTATTATGATTTGGGAATGTATCCCCTAAACCCTAAACCCTAAACCCCTAACCCCTAAACCCCTAAACCCCAAAACCCTAAACCGTCCACCACAAGACTCCCTAGGAGGCCCTTTGGGAAGAGGAGAAAAGGCGACACTTCGATCCGCCTGCGCGTGATCGTCCACACCCGCCACGTAACCACAGGTCTGGCCAGCGCTTAGGGCTTATAACGGTTTCGGGTTTACGGTTTAGGGTTTGGGGTTTGGGGTTTAGGGTTTGGGGTTTAGGGTTTTGGTTTTAGGGTTTAGGCCCACCAGAACCTACTTTTTTGTAGAGTCCCTATAAATGCCATATTAGGTTTTTAATTATAGGCTACAAAAGTTGGGTTTGGTAGGTTAAGGTAGGGTTTAGGTGTTTTCTTTTTAGGGTTTTAGGCTTTAGGGTTTGGGGCTTAGGGTTTAGTTTTTTTCTTTTAGGGTTTAGGGTTTGGGGCTTAGGGTTTAGGGTTCTTGTCTCAGTTTGAGGTTTATAGTCTTTGAGGCTGGAAGGTCTAGGGTGTTTTTAGGTGACTTTGAAGGTCTTATAGCATTTGTTGGCTTGAAGCTGTTGGCTGGGTTTGAGGCTTCATTAAGGTCAGTTTGAGGGTCTTACGCCTGTGTTGGTTTGAGGCTTTAGGTTTAAGCGGGTTAGAGTTGAGGGTCTTACATCTTCAAACCATGACCAGGAAATCCAAAGGCAACTTTGCAAACAACAAATGTGCGAAACAATCAGTACCAGAATCCCCGTATTGTGCGCTTGGGGGTGGCTCTATCGTATCACCCCAAGTTCTGACCCTAAACCCTAAACCCAACACCCTAAACCCTAATTTCTACTTCTTGAGGCCTCAAATCGCCCCCATACTAACACCGAAATCTCTCGTGGAACCCTAAACCCCTAAACCCTAAACCCTGAAGGTGCCTGCTTGCAGGAGTCGGGTGCCGAATCACCTCTGTCTGTTTCGGAACAAGTCGCGAGATCGTGACAAACCGGTTCAGGAGTTGCTCTTCAGGAGAACCCGCTGGCACTGTCTCGGCAAGTTTGTCTAGTAGAGCATGTGCCAAACGAGCCCTAAACCCTAAACCCTAAACCCTAGACCCAAAGCCTAAACCCTATAGCCCAAATCGCTTGAGACCTTGATGGCAATGGCCTCAGGCCCGGCACTAAAGATGAAGTAGTCCACCGGCAACTTGGGAACCGAGCTTAAGGCTCTAAAGCCCCAAGTCTCTAGCCGGACCGACTACTGTGAGGGTTAGGCTTTAGGCTTTAGGGATTAACGTTTGGGGCTGAAGGCTTCGGTAGGTAGCAAGAACGCACCGGCATACATTAAAAGTTTCTATAGTACGACAAACCCGCAAACAAAAACACACACACACACACACACACTGACTGAGGGACTGCACTCAAAAGAGAGCTAACGGTTAAGGACTTGTGGTTGTGGGGGATTCGCTTCCTACAGACGAAGTCCTGGGGCACCTATGCCTATGCCTATGCTGGTTCCGAAATCCGTCCCCACGAGGCCCCCCCCCCAAAAAAAAAGAACTCGCCACGCACCCTGATCCTCCTGTCAAGGGGCCCGTCTCATTGAAACAGTTCTTCATGTCCAAAATCCCACAGGCGGACCTGTCATACACAGATCGGATGGTTGGCAGGGCTGCTCACATCTGCTGAACCTACTTTCTCCTTGCACTCGAAGGCCTGCAACAAAGGGTTGAAATTTTATGGTTCAACCAAATAGTACATAGATTTGAAAGTATGAATTTCCTAGCGTCATGCTATCACCGCAAAGAGGCCTTGCCGAAAGATCGACTTTTTCCAGTAGCCGTTGCGGATGCAATGCCACCAGCTCTATCTAATCTGTGTGCAGAGCTGTCGAGACTTGCTGATGAGAATATTTTTGGCATATGGACGGGGACAGTAAGACGTCATGCAGACCCGTGTGAGGCAGGGCCCCGTGGCCAAGGGTCTCAGCCATAGCTCAATCCGAAACCCAAACCCTAAAAACACCAAACCCTACACCCCAGACCCTAAAACCTAAACCTTAAACGCTAAACTCTAAACCCTAAATCTTACACCTTAAACCTTAAACACGATGACACCGCGCTCTACCCTGCTGCTTTGAATCGGCTTTGGCTCTGTCCTACCCAAAGGGTCCTAGGTAGTGTGATGGGGGATACTGTCCCAAATCATAATCAGGATTCCTAATATAGAAACCCTACATTCTGCCATACAGGTGCTTTGGACCCTTTGGGCCACGGTCAAGTCGCAATCAAAGATCCTTGCTGATTCAAGTGGCAGAACTGGTCTGAAGTAGAGGGTTTAGGGTGTAAGGGTTTAGAGTGTAGGGTTTAGGGTTTAGGGGTTTAGGGGTTTAGGGGTTTTGGGTTTAGGGGTCAAGGGTTTAGGGGGTTTAGGCTTTAAGGGGTTTAGGGTTTTGGGTGTTAGTTTTATAGGAGCTTCGTGTTGGGTGGTTTAGGATTTGGGATGGTTTATAATGGTTAATTAGGAGGTCAGACCCTCGGACTGCACCCTGCATCGGAAGAACGGCTATGAAGCATCTCAACCCCTTTAGGGTTTAGGGGTTTAGGGGTTTAGGGTTCAAGTTCCGCAAACCCTGGACACCAATCATGCCAACACCCACCAGATTGAACTGTCATCCGAAACCTGACTCGTTTCTTAACTGTACAGTGTAGCGTTCAGGGCTTAGGGTTTGGGGTTTAGGCTTTAGGGTTTAGGGGTTTCTTCTCCCATGGTTCACAGCATGAGCCTCATAAGCCTCAACCGCAAAGTCTTAACTCAAACACCGCCTGATGAAGGGGTAGACGTGGAGACCAGTCCCTCCGCCGAACTGCTCCCACAGCAATCCACCTTGGGGGAGCCGTCGAGGTTCGGGTAGGCTTTGGGGGTTTAGGGCTTAAGGTTTGGGATTTAAGGTTACGGGCCTGTAGGGTTTAGGATTCAAGGCTTGGGGCTGGGGGTAAAACCCAAATCCTAAAACTCAAACCTCTAAGGCCCCTATTCTCCTTCGCTGCTATCTCTCGGGCCTCACGAAAGTCTCAAATTGCCAAGTATGCGTGTTTTAGGGCTTAGGGTGTAGGGTTTAGGGTTGAGGGTTTAGGGTTTAATGCGGGTTCAAAGTGTATGTGCTTGTACACAGAGTAGCTCAAGGCATAGTGACGAGCCCACAAATACTGCGGCAACCAGATAAAAGGGGCCCTTAAACCCTAAACCCTAAACCCAAAACCCAAAACCCTAAACCCTAAAACCTAAACCCTAAACCTGATCTAAAGAACGACCCATACCCGGACCTTCCAATATCGCTGCGTTAAGGAGTATAACCTTAGCTAATTAAACTTATAGTAGGACCCCTAATATGACTTAAGGTATAGTCCTTAAGTAAAGGACTTTGGAAGGTCTGGGCAGATTCCAGTGCATCAATGAGCCTCGAGCTGCTATCTTGTTGTTGGACCCTCAGACAGACAAACCAAAAAGCCTGCATCTCACACCAGGCTTTGCGATTCCTAAAGCCTTATGACACAAGGGCTGCGTGTTTCCCCTGCACTACCCTAAACTACCATAACCTACTTGTTTGTTAGGTTCTTATCATACATCCGAAATCACCCAAATATAGAATTTGTAGGGGCCCAAAGGTATGGAATTTCAGCATTCGATGAGAGGTTCTGATAGTGTATGTACTTTCGAAACCCGGACGATGTCGCTCCTGTAAGAATGTTGTAAGTTTCAAACTTGTAGCCCACACACTCCGAGTACGTTGTGTGTTTTCCGTGAACTTTACAGTAAAGAGCAGTCTTGAGCAGTACAAGTTGTACAAGGTAGAATGATCGTCCTGGCTACAACCATAACGGATGCTACGTGTTTAAACTATCCGGTCCCGCTTCTCCCTGAAACCTAGAATGCCAAACCCTACGACCTGATGGCAATCAGGAAAAACCCTTCACCCTAAACCCTAAAGCCTATACCCGACACCCCTAACCCCTAAACCCTAAACCCTAAGGCAAAAAACCCGACACCCCTAAACCCTAAACCCCAAGGCTGATGTAAATCCTAAGAACTGCCAAGCTTCATACGAAAGAAACCCGGGAGTCACCCTTGCTTCAACTTTCATGGCTCCATTGACGCCTACGAAAGATCCCTGACCCAGAGGGTCCACCTTTACTACTACCATTATGGAATTAAGTTCGAAAAGAACATCCCTAGCACGACACATGGTTTTGGCGGGCCCTACCTGCATAAGAATCGTAGATATGGAGCCCCTTTGTGGCCTGATGAATACGCCTCCTTTCTTCAAGGGCCCCTGTATGAGAATCCCGGGTATGACCCTTACTAAGGGAGAGGGGTTTGTAAATTATGGGGCCTGGGATCAGGGTTTCTGTTGCTTAGGATTTCAAAGGTCACTGGGTGAAGCCCGGATCAACCGCTCAGCGCCGTGCCCCAGTCCTTAGCGAAACTTTGGCTGAACATGTTTGGGTCCTCTTACAATAGGCCTGTAGAAGCCGAGTGATATAGAAACCTAAATGATTAACAACATTATGCTTAGGGTTCCTTATGATAGTAAGGGTATATTCTTCCCCCAAACCCTAGTCTAATCATTAAGGCCCCTACGTTAGAATGGCCAACCCTGAATCCCAAACCCTAAACTCCTGTAAAGAACCGATCATAGAAGCCTTATGGATTCTAGTCTAGGCAACTGCCTAGACCTTAGAATGTATAGTACTGTTTTGACCATGCTTTTGATTGTGTCTTGGGCGCGATTAGAACACGAAACCAAGGTCGCCCAAACAAGTACTACGGCTGATGGTATAAATCCTGCATTACCCATAATAAGGAATATACAATAATTCCCAATAGTTTAGGGTCCTTAAGGTAACCAATGCAGGACTTATGTCGGCAACAGTAGCTGTAGGCTCTACGTACCTTAACAGACTACTTGGAGGGTCGGGCGGCTTAGTAAATGGTTATTTTATAGACTTACAAGTACTATAACCCCAATTAGGGTCTCTTTCAGGGGACTTATAAGTCTACTTCTTACCTACTTACTAAGTCTCCCGACCCTCCAAGTACAGAACCCTGACCCAACCCTGCAGAAACCTTCTGGAACTCTTATGGCCTGAGGCTCCAAAGGGCCAAGTGGGCTCAGGGTTTCGGGTTCAGGGTTCAGGGTTGGTTTAGGGTTTAGGGTTTAGGGTTTAGGGTTTAGGGTTTAGGGTTCTAGGGTTGATGATGGTGTTTATGTGAGTCCGTATTTTAGAAAGCATACGATTGTTAGGTACTTGACCCTTAGGGAGATGGAATCTTCGCACCTGGGGTTCAAAGGGAAACTTCGGGGGTTAGGGTTTAGGGTTTAGGGTTTAGGGGCTTCGGGTTTGGAGTTTGCCCTAAACCCTAAGACCCGTAGCCCTGAATGCTAAACTTTGACCCCTAACCCATTATAAGCCCTATAAACGTAAAACCCGAATCGAACGCCCAAAACACTAAAACCCTGAACCCTGAACGATTGAGTAAGGTGTGAGAGACCGGGGTGCAAGGTTCGAGGAGTTTGGAGGTATAAGGTTCGAGGTTTTGGGTGTGGGGGGCAGTATATTCTAGAGCTCGAGCCGTTTTGGGTGTTTCGGTAGGGACAAAAAAGGAACGTCGTTGGTCAGAGCACTGCTTTCTTAACGAAGCCCTGAACCCTAGACTCGACCTTGAGCCACCTATCCCCAAAGCCCTCACCCTTAACCCAAAACCCCCGTGACTTCTTGGGGTAAGAATATAGGGGCCTTAATAATTAGAAGAGGGTTTTGGGGGAATATTATACTATAGCTTTACCTATGATCAGGAACCCCGAAAGCAGAAAAGGTAATCATTAAGGCCCCTATAGTAGGCACCGCAACGTTTGTCTATGCCGCAAAACCGGTACGAATCTTGAACCCTGTGCAGAAACCCCTGTTGAAAATCCACACTTTCCGGGGATGGGTTTAGGGTTTAGGGTTTAGAGGTTTAGGGTTTAGGGGTCCAGGGTTTAGGGGTTTAGGGGTTTAGTTTGGGGTTTAGGGTTTTGGGGCTTAGAGTTTATCGCTTAGGCTTTCCACACCTTCCGGGGATCCAAACGTTCAACACAGTTTAGGGTTTAGGGGACCCTGTGAAGAGCCAGAAGAGCTCCTTGCCAGGTTCCTACATCCTTACGGACCTCTAAGGGCACCAAACCCTTATACTAATTTTCAACTTCGCTATACGGCCTAAGCCCGTAATACTTTCAGGGCGCATGTCGTCCTTACGGATTCAGCCAGCAGACTGGTGCAGGAGTTCTGCAAAATCGTTACCTGTACATGCTAATATCCCCAAAGCCAAATAACCCTATAACCCGACACCCTATCGGTTCAGCGTTTAGGGCTTAGGGCTATTCTTCGCATGACCCGGAACTGAGGAATTTAATGCCCAGGGACGCCGATGGTGAAGACATGCATCTCACCTCTTGCCAGTTATCGAGATTCAGAGTTTGGTTATAGGATTGGGAGTTTGGGGTTTGGGGTGCGCAACAAAGATTTCAGGGTTGAGGGTTCGGGGGCTTATCCAGTCAAAAACGGCACAGGTGAGGCGTGGCTGTCAAAGAAAGAGGCATGAGAGCCCTAACTTTAGAGTACGCAGAGAGAGCTCAGCGCCCAACCATTTTACCATCTCATGTGCTTATCACCGCAAGTCTTCTCCTTGATCAAGGGTTTTGGGCCCTTTCAGGCCAATGCAGCTGCTGAAGACATAGGGGGATCCTCAAAGCAAATTCAGCAGATCCCAGATCTAAAACGTATAGGCCTCAGATGCAGAGGCCCGGATAATTGGGTCTAAATTATGTCTATGATAGTAGGTTTGTAAGTTAGTATTTGGGTAAGCATACGTATGCATGCTTATTCGGACTAATAAGAAGATGGTTCCCTTAAAGGGACATGACTCGCTCTAAAGGTCCATGTGCCTACACATAGCCAAATAAAGAGCCAAAGTCTATGAGATGCAGCCACATGGACTCTCACGGCAGTTTAGGAATTAGAGCTTGGGGTTTAGGGTTTAGGGTAGGGGATAAATTATCCCCTACCCTAAACCCTAAACCCGAAGCCCTGACTCCTAAACTGTAACTGCTTGGCCAGCTGTGGGGTTAATGAAACTACATACTCCGTAGTCTCGGTAAGCATCGAACCCCAAGCCATAACCGCCCAAACCCGTTCTGCGCTAGCATGTGGGATCGCAGGGAGCGCTACAAGTTCGGCAAAATCCATGGACCCTAAACCCAGATCCTATAACCCTAAATCATTATTTCTACAAGCGGAAACATACATCTTCAGGCTGGGGAGTGTGCGTGTCCGGTGTCCGTCTGTTGCGATTCTCTCCCTAGCAAACCCTACCTATTTTAGAGTTTAGGGTTTAGGGTTTAGGGTTCAGGGTTTAGGGTTTAGGGTTTAGGGTTTAATTCATCGCCCCGCTTGCCTGTTCCCGGGATGACCATGTCCTGCAACAGGGTGGGGCAGACAGAGGGACTGAGCATCTGGGCGCCCCCGCTTGCGAATCCATGTGGTGCGAGGTATTTAGGGTATAGGGGGGTTTAGGGTTTAGGGTTTAGGGTTTAGGGGTGTAGTTACGGCTTCACGCTCCATTTTCTCTTCTTGGTTTTGATTGCCGGGCAATTAGGCATGTTTCTCGGGGAACTACTTCCCTAAACCCTAGAACCCTAAAGCCCAAACCCCAAACCCTAAACCCCAGAGGTCGGAAACAACGAGAGTTTCGAGTCTCCAGCCTCTGGGCCTCAGAAGTTTCGCCGGACGTTGGGTGCCCCCGGCACAAACCCTACCTAAACCCTAAAACCTAAACCCGAAACCCAAAACTCTAAAACCTAAAACCTAAACCCTCAACCCTCCTTACAAGGGTAGGGTGGGGGCAGGGGACTCTACTTCCTTAAAAATGCCGTCTTAGGTCCGGGTGTCTTCCTCCCTTTCTTCCCCTTTTATGGGTCCGTATTCCTAAATCCTACATCCTAAACCCCTAAACGCCCAACCCCTAAACCCTTTACCGTATGGAAAAGCCGTCCTCCCATGCCACCCCGTTGTACTGAGTGGCAGTGCCTCGGCTTGCGATTGGGGCTTCAGGCTTCCGGTTTATAAAGGAGCTGCAAGGATGTAGGAGCTGCGGGTTGAGGGTTAGGGTTTAGGGTTTAGGGTTTAGGGTTTAGGGTTTAGGGTTTAGGTTTAGGGTTTAGGGTTTAGGTTTAGGGTTTAGGGTTTAGGGTTGAGGGCTCAGGGGGGCAAACCCTATCCATTGGCAGTTTCGCAAAACGCTGGGCCACTAGACAAGGTTCGTAAACCTCCCAGCCAGTGGGCGAGGGTCCGTTCTGCACATCACTCGACCACTCCAGAGCTAACATCGACCCGGAGGTGGCTTTCTTGAAAGCATTTCTGCTTCAGGGATCCCCACAAAGGACATTTGGGCTTTTTCGAGCTTCGGGTTTAGATGGACGGCTTCCGAATCAAGTGACCGGTGGAGGGCTCAAGGTAGCAGGCTCCCATCTAATTTCGTCTCTCTTGTCGGCATCCCAAAAGGGACCCAAACATAGAGAGCTACCAATCGGCATCCGAACAAAAAGACAGAAACATGGAAAGCTACAGTACCAATACGATCCAAAGAGGGTGTCGGAGTAGTTAACAGCACTCAATCACAATTGCAAAGCTCACTGTCTCTGCTTGAAAGTTCCACTGCAATTGCCGGCGGCCCTTTGGTAATATGCCAGTTGCTCGTGCAACTCTAGGCAAGGGGTTTCTTCTTCTATTTCTTCTCTAGCGGCTGCGCATGAGCATTATGCTATAAAGTGTGGTAAGGAATCCCAACATACTGCTAATGATATAGATCCTGCATTCCCTTCAGGACCTCGAACTATGGGAATTATGGTATATTCTCTCTTATGGGGTACAGTAATGCATGATTCATACCATCAATCGTACTAAACTGTCGACCCTAAACCCTAAACCCTAAAGCTAGTAGTCGGGTCGAAGTCAGAGTACAGGTCATCGACCTTTCGTTTTGGTGCCAAATTTTTTTGCTCGAAGGGTAGGGTTTCGGGTCTCGGGTTTAGTGTTTTAAAGGGATACAGGAATTGACATTTCGGAATAGGATTTGGGGAAGGCTGTAGTTATAAACTGGAACAATAGAGGTAGCTCTTCAGGCTATACTGAAGTTTGTCAGAAAAGAAGAAAACCCCACCCAACACACAAGACTCGAACCTGAACCCGCCAGATAGGGTTCTCGTGGGACCTAGAATCCTAGAGATACGCCCAGAGCCCAGTGAATCCCTCATCTTGACGTGCCTTGAGAAATGCAAAAACAGAACCAACTTGACGTTGGTTCTGCTTTTTAATCAGCCATATAAGTGTCAGGTAGCTGGGTGGATCCAGGCCACCTGCCAGGAACGGAACGATCGAATAAAGCCCGAAAGCCCAAACCCTAAACCCCGAAACCCAAACCCCCCTCGACTCTAAACGAAGCTGCGGCGGAGGCATGGGGATGTGGGTCCAGCTTTTGCGGTTCAGGGCATGGGAGTCTTGAGGCTTAAGGTTCGGCCAAATACGGCTGTCTGTTTAGAAGATTAGGGTTTAGGGTTTAGGGCAGGTTAAGGGTTAGGGTGGCATCTTTGAGAACGGTAATAGGGTCTTGGGGCATAAGATGCTCTAGTTGTTTAACCCGAAGCCTAAGGAATAGTATTTATCATTATTGAAGCTTCTTTAGTACCCTGAGGGTCCATGTACCTATATAGTATATACTGAGGCCTAATAAAGTTCCTATATGAGCCGGCGTCAAAATTATTTGTTTGTGCTAGGCTCGGTTTGGGGTTAGGGCGTCCCCTATCGTTTTACAGTGAATGCAACTTGGCAATATTGTTGCATCTAGAGTATCGTCTTTAGAGCGTCCCCTATCGTTTTACAAGTCAACG